TGGAGATGGAAGCTGGGGGCCGTAGATGCGGTGGCACAGCCAGACGCAAGCTGACCAGAGGTTTCTGGAGGGTCTATTTTTCAGAGGGCTCTAACATGCACACGCCAGGGCAGGCTGCCGTGAGAGTGACTGTGTCACACCAGGGGAGGAGGTAGAATTTGAGCTGCACCTTTGGGGCCATTTGGTCGAGGGGCTCTGGAGAAACAGCCCCGCTGCAGTGACCTGCTTTTAACATGTTCAGGTTCCTGTCCTTCCCCCTAGAGCAGGATGAGGCGAGGGGGTGTTCCCCCCATCCCTGATCTCAGGGTAGCTGAACTGCCCCCCACCCTCCTGACCCACTTGTGGAATGAGGAGTAACAGTTAATCCGAACTAAGGACTTAGTTTGATTAACTTTAAACTGTTGCGTGTAGCCGTGGGCAGTTAGTTTGGACTAAGGGGGATTTAAAAATGGCGGCGCCCGGGAACACGCAAATGGAGCCTGGGATATTTAAATCCCAGGCTTCATTTACAACTTCGGTTGTCCTCATTACCCTGCCTAGCTCGAATTAACGAGCTCGTGTAGACGTACCCTAAGAGTGTCCAGGTGCCTCACCTTTCCTCTGTAGAGTCTCCTTCCCGTACTCTAGGAAACTCTTTAGCCATTGAATACATTCCTCCTCCATATAGACTTTCCATCGCCGCTTGCCAGATACATCAGCATCGAACCTCCTCTTGGTGATCTGAGCCCCAATATCGGCGGCGACCCAAGTCATGGTCTCCTTATCAAAGGTGAGAAAGTCTCGTCCATCATAGGAATCCTGGTAAAACCCCCTGGTGGTGTTGTCTTCCCGGAGATCACAGCCGTACATTGTCTGGATGATGTGAAACCCTGAAACACACGGGCAGGACCCAGGTCAGCAACAGCCCTTCTCTGAAAATCTCACCCAGACCCCACGGCAGGTAGTCCAGTGGGGTACCCCCTGGCTAGCTCCCCTGAGAAACAGGGTTCCCACTGATGGGTCTTATAGCCCCCAGCTCTTTGCAGGAGAGATCCCGAGCCTGAAAGGGGCTCCCCCTCCGTATTATTGGGTCTTGTACACTAAAGACCCCACCTGCAAAGGAGATACATTTAACAGTAGTGTGTCACCGGGACTGGGTGGCGTTCACCCAAGGGTTCTGAAAGAACTCCAGTGGGAAATTGCAGAACTATTCACTGTGGTTTGTAACCTATCCTTTAAATCAGCTTCTGTACCTAATGACTGGATGATTGCTAACAGGATGCCGATATTTACAAAGGTCTCTAGCGGTGATCCTGGCAGTTACAGACCGGTGAGTCTGACGTTGGTACCAGGAAAATGAGTTGAAACTGTCGTAAAGAATCAAATTTGCAGGCACATGGATGGACATAATTTGCTGGGGGACACTCAACATTAAGAGCATCAGAGCGGCCAGGCTGGGTCAGATCCAAGGCCCATCCAGCCCAGCATCCTGTCTGCCCACAGCGCCCAGATGCCCCAGAGGAAGGGATCCTCCTGTCATCACCCTCCTGTCACCCACCTGCAGAGAAACAGAGGCCAGGGATATGATTTGTAAATGTCTTGTTTGG